AGAGGGAGAGAGAAGCTTGGATATTATTTTCCCTCCAGCCCAGAGGGGGGGGTCCTCTTCCCTCCCCCCATATTTCCTGCCGGTTTGGGAGGGGGGCAAAGAGGCCCCACCGGGATCCAGCGTTCCCTGCAGACAGACGGAGGCCAGGACCGGCTGAACTTCTGCCTGCCTTTTTCCACCCTGGGGAGATGGAGGGGGGGTCCCTCGGGAAGCTCTTTCCCCCTCCCTCATTTTCCTCCCCCCTCCAGACCCCCAACAAGGGGGAAATCCCGCTGGGACCGACTGTTCCCCATCCCTCCTCCAGGGGGCGCCTTCCGGCAGTCCCTCGCGGCAGGTCTCCCGTCACTCCGCCTTCCCATCGCTCCGCCCCTCCTCTAGTAGCTGCTGGGAACCATGGGCCCTGGAGTCCCTCCTGAGGGCTTTCTTCTTTCTGCTCCACACACACCCCCCGCAGCCCATTTCCTGCTCCAGTGGAAGGCCGAGTGCCATTTCTTCAACGGGACGCAGCGGGTGCGACACCTGGACTGGTACATCTACGACCGGCAGGAGATCGACTACTTCGACAGCGATCTCGGGAAATTCGTGGCCGTCACTCCGTTGGTGCAGCCCGATGTGGACAAGTGGAACAGCGATAAGGCCATCCTGCAGTACCAGAAGGCCTCCGTGGATCGCTTCTGCCGAAAGAACTACGAGGTTTTCCAGAGCAATTCCGTGGTTGGCCGGAGAGGTGAGTGCGGGAGGGGGAGTTCCATTGGGGGGGGGAATGCAGGGACCCCCCCTTTTCATTTCATTTATTAGGACTCTCCCGGATAAAGATTTGCCCCTTATTTATTCTGTACTCTCCGATCTACGAAATTTATTCATTGGTATTTATTGATACTCCTAACACTTCCCTCAAAGCGGGGCTCTGGATGGTGCACAATATAACATCACCCCTAAATAAAAATGTATAAAAAATAAGGTTAAAAAATAAATTACCTTTAAAAAGTTTGAAATTCTACACCAATGACCATGAAACAATCAAAAGGGAAGAAATAGATTCCCCTCCTTCCCATCAGTCCCATCATCTTCCTTCTCTTCCCACGATACAAAGTTTCCCCTGCCCAGAAAAACTTCTTTCCAGAATATTATACCAAATATTATATTTTTCTTTGGGGGGGAGGAGAAATCCAGCCAGGTCTCTCTCTTGCCCAGTATATGAATATATTTCAATACAATCTATATGCTATATAATATTTTATATTAATAAATCAATAATATATTGATTTACTTATCAACTTTTAAAACCATCTCTCTCACACACAGAGGGACTTTGCATGGTATACCCATAAAATATAAAACCACCAAAATAATCTATAGGATTTAAAAGACAAGAATGATTAAAATGCAGTAGTAAATTAAAAGGGGGAGGGCTGCCTCCTCCTCT